ACCTGACTTTAAAATAAATTTGTCTTACAAGTTTAACAAAGAAAATGAGTAAATTCTAGTGGGTTATACCTGTCAATTCTTGAGGGGAAGATTGTATGGCATTTTCATAGATGACGGTTTTCAGGTAAGTCATAAGGTTAGTCAAGTTGAAAGTACAGGTAACAGACACTCATGTAGATAGAGGGATGATTTTAAAACATTAATGGACTGAAATGTAATAAAATTAATGTTGAGATCACAAATACAATATACCTAAAAGATTAATATTAGAATAGAATTAGAAGTGTGATTATAGTCACTTATTAAAGTGTGGCCATACAAACATATATATTTATATATATTTATAAATTAATTTTAATTTACTAAATAATAAATATTAACTATTTTATTTAGTTATATATTTTTAATAGTTAAGTCAAATAAAACTATTAATTTAAAACACAACATTAAAAAATTTATGTAATTTTAATATTCCATTGTGTGACAATATTCATGGACCTCTTAGGGCAAAAGGTACCCGTTTGCCCCTTAACTTTTCGAATTTTAAGGTTTTTACCCTCCATATTACTATAAATGGATTTTTGCCTTTCATATTTTCGAGTTTGAGGAAATGAGGCAAAATTTAACGCCGGAGCGTTACGTGTAACATGTGCACCGTTAGCCTTTGTCAAGTATGCACACGTCAGTGCTAACTCAAACTTTTTTGACAACTTGGCATGCCAACTTGGAACCCCATGAGCGGAAAGTCTATCTGCTATCAATTTTATTTGTGGGTCCCATAGCAGACCAAAGGTTTGAAAAAAAAGGTTAAATCCCTGATTCAGTCCCTCAACTTTTATTTTTGAACTAAATTTACCTTCGAACTTAAAAAAGTACTAAAAAAATCTTTCCTTTAATAAATAAAAATTTCTTTTTTTTTTCTTTTTTCTTTCCTTTCCTTTTTTTTTCTCCTTCTCTTTCCTTTTCTCCTCCCCCTCCTTACTGGGTTCGAAGGAGCACAGCACCAGCGCCTGGGTTCGAAGGAGCACAGCACTAGCGCCTGGGTTCGAAGGAGCACAGCACCAGCGCCTGGGTTC